AAAAGATGCACCTCAAAATGTATGCATATAAACCTATATATTTCATCAAAAATAAATTCAACTGAGTTTAGATTTTAAAACTTTTATAGCTTTAAAGATAACACGTAAAAAAAAAAAGCACAGATTAGGTAACCTTCCTCAAAATATTTTCAAAGGACATGGTATGCTTCATTCTGTATCCTGAATATCTAATATGGTGCAAGCTTCAAACAGTACTCCAGTCCTTTTCTGGATCTGTTAAGAGGCTGATCCTTAATTAAATGATGGACTCCACGGTCATGAACTTACTTTGGATTTCCACTAAGGCTTCCCTTGTGAATTTCATACAGGTTTTGTGCAGGTAGTTATGCAGAAACCAACAACTGGTGTAACTCCAGAGGGTGCTAAGCCTCAGCTGATTCTCCCACTTTGCACAGAGAGGACTGCAGCAATTCTAGCTGCCTGTCGTCCTGAAGCAGAATGCGGCTGCTAGATGTGGGGCCCCTGGAGCGACAGTGGCCTGAGGCTAAGTTTAGTCACCAGCTAACGACACTCTGGGGTCCCCAGAACATCTGGACAAGATGGAAACAACTGGCTGGAAATGTCCTGGTATGCAGAACCTTGCACATAGAGTACTAGTTGAGAATTCTACTTTTTTATCCCAAATATTCAAAGCCTGATTCTAGAGATCACTATTTCCCAGGTATTTGTTATAAATACGCCAATGTATTATTTAAATCCTGAAATCTTATTTTTCTTTATTATTTCTTTTTTTTATTATTTTATTCTCTCTCTCTCTCTCTCTCTCTGTTTTGGTTTGGTTGTTGATGGGGGACAGATTGCTTTAATACTGTAATTAGGTTTCTTAAACTTTTTTAAAGGATTAAGATGAGCTCCAAATTTTTGAACTACAAAAATATTACTAACACACTTCAATTATGAAATCTGGACTTGTAATCAAAAGAGATGAACTGTGATAATAGGAGTATATTATGCTTAGGGATTGGGAATTCTTATAGAAGTGCTGTCTCACTGTTTGTGGTCTATGGAGATTAAGTCCTCTCTCGTGCTGGCTTTTCTCTCTGACTTGCTTATATTCTCACAATGTTAAAACACAGTAGTCCAAATGCTGCTCTCAGGGAGTCTGTATTTAGTTCTCGGGTGAGGATTCCTTTTAAACAGGCCCTCTTATCATTTCAGTGCTCTTTGTTTGCTGAAATCCAAGCATCTCCAGGAAATTAGAGCAGTTAATTTAATATGGTGAAATGTTTGGGGGCTTCTTGGCTTATTCAGAGACAGGAGAGTGTAAATCAAATTGAGAATTCTGTATAAAGTAGAGGATAATAAAAGTTGCCTCCAAAAAAAAAGCCAGCATTTGTTGCTCGGCTTCATTCTGGCCCCAGTGAAATCTCTTTTTTGATTCCACGACTCCCTCTCGGATCTCCATTCCACATTGCAAAAGGACGGAGAATCTTCGAGGGCTGAGCCCACTGAGGGCTTGAGTGGATGCACAGTTGTCCTTCATTGTTCAGAGAAGGGATCTGGGGCTCCCGCCAGGGTAGTGTCACTCAGGGCTTAGCACTTTCTTCCGCCTGCTTTAGTCCCAGCCTTCACACAGGTTCATTGGAAGTATCATTCTACACATGCTAGTGACCCTCTGTGAATTACCTGACACCAAACTGGGCATTGGGGTGCATTATCTGGTGAAGGAGAGGGACTCTACAGCAGTGAAGAATACACTTCTATTGCCAAGGAAAAATAGAGAGCTCCCGGCAGGCTTGGACTGCTCTGTTCTTTCTGCTCAGATCCCCAGTGTTGTTATTCACCCATGCCTCTAGAATATGGGGTGCATGGTGCAGTGTTCACAGGGGATTTTTCTCATTTGTTTTTTTAAAAGCTCTTTGAATGAATCTTTTCAAAGGCATAAAGTGGGCACATCAGCCACCAGAAGCACACTACTAAGTCAAATACTTTGGCCTCGACTCCAGAAGGTTCTCTGCGTGTTTTGTAGCACCCCACTTCCCAGGCCTCAAACAGGTGCTGGGCTGGTGCTTATTTTGCTTCGCTTTTCTTGTACTTCAAGACTAAATTTTAGGTCTCTGAGCAGTCCTTTTGGAAAGAAAGGAAACCCCAGGGGAACTGGGTGCATGTTTACTTTGTTTTAGGGACTGAGTGTTTGCAAAAGATTAGGGATGAAGGTGGACTATTAATTGTGCCTTGTGTGAGTACTCTGATGCTTGGTGCTATTGAGATATAAATAGAGGGGTGTGGAATACTTCTGGGATGGTTCTCGTTGCCCAGAGAAGCCCCCAAAGGCACATCCCTTTATATTCTCCCAAGGAATAACTATCAAGACTAGGGCACAATTCCTGTTTGGTTTATCTGTGGTTAGAACAAAAGGAGACAATCTCAGATATAATAAATATCTCCTAGGAAAGCACATTTCAGCATAAATATTTTAAATTTTGATACATTTCATATGCGTTAAAATAAGCTATAAAATACACTCACAGAGGAGTTACATTGCAGCTCAGTTCCCCCCATGACAAATAAACAATGAGATGTCAACTTGTGCCACTCACTGAAAATATGTAAATATCACATAATTAATAATATTGTAGATATCTCTGTTTTTAACCCTAAAATGATCATGTCCTCCCAAAGGTTCTTCGTGCCTGCTATTCCAGTGTTCTGGGCTGCAGGACTCTGTCGAGACACTGAGAAGTGGATTTTTCAAATCTATCGCTCTTCTCCTCCACTTCCCTTGTTTATTCTCTATCCCTGTGTTTTCTTCTGTTCTTGTTATGACTTTCTGTTTTAGCTTGCAGATTCCACATTTTCATACAAAATTCTGTATATTTTGCTTTCTGTTTAATCCCTGGTGCTCTCGAAAAGAAAAAGCAGGAGAAATGCTCCTCAACTCTGTGTAGAAACCATGATAAATAACAGCAAAGACTTCACTGATGTTCACAAAAGCAGGTGCCCTGCAAACCGCATCCCTCCATCCCCCTGACTTCCTAATATGATGACTTAGATACTTTTCTACTTAGGCAAGTGGTGCCATTTTTGCCGAATTCAGCAAGTTCATTGAGCAATTTCTTTGAGCCAAACGCCAACTCCACTGCATTTCTGCTTGGTAAGGTTTGGTAGCCTTGGCATGGTGGGGGAGGGATTTTGATTCATTTTGATTCTTTTAAATTGATGATAACTCTAGAATCTGGGCAGAAGTACTAGACTTTCTTAATAGAGTCTCTGCAGGGAATCAGTGGTCCCTATGCCACCCCAAAACCACAGGAGGAACACAGCAAATCTGTACCGACAACTACTAGAAGAATTAGGGACGGGGAGATCTCAGGGAGAATCCACGTATGTGGGCGTCAGCGAGAACTTGGACACTAGTGTAGAACTAGTGCTTGACCTCAAGCATACTTCTTCTTAGAGACATGCCTCTGTTTATTTCTTAATTCTGAGTATCTAAATTTTGTATTGTGAATTCTATTAGGATGATGCAGGTGCGCACAATGTCATGACAGAACTCGTAATAACACTCGGCATCAGCAATTGCAGGTGTTTCGTTTGTGTGTGTTTATACAATCCTATATCTATTGATGTTTTCAATGAAGATACTTTAGTTTCACTTCCGTCTTTCTATGGTGAGAAAATAAAACCTTGCAGGCAGGTAACCCACTGTAACTTTGAAGAAGCTTTTGTGGAGACTTGTCTTGGCACAGATTAACACAAGGTGTAAATGCAAATTCCGGCGACAGGAAGTCCTTCCACCCGAGAGGGACTCCATTTTTCTGAGAAAAAGAAAAACAAGTGAATCTCTATAAAGGAGTTTGTTTCTCTGTTTTATTACTGTGCTACTTTTTTTGACCTGCTCCCATCCAAAGGCCACGGTGTATTCTATAATAGATATTATAGTGTTAATAATAATTATCTTTGTAACATCCTTTTTTTTCAGGAATTAAATGTTACATATAATACATGCTATTTAGGTTGGATGTGACCATGGTAAATACCCTGACTTTTTTCATCATATAGAAGTATTTATTTAGAGAAAATTGTATCTATTTGCTATCCTTTAACTAAAATACCTCAGTCCTTAACTAGAATGTGTATTAGTCAAGTCGTCTTTTAAAAACACATTATTTTCATGTGCATAGGATGGGAAGGGAAATAAAAAAAGGAATCTTGAAATAGGTGCATTTAATTCTCCCCAATTTAAATGTAAGTGGTACATCTTTAAGGCAATAATGATATTCCTTTCTTTCCCCCATCATGAATGCTTCTATCAATGAATTTCTTTAATGTTGATGGTGGTTGGTGCAGTTTGAGGAAATCTGTATTTAGTCAGAAAATGCTTCAATAGAATGACCTACCAGATGGGCCCCATAACAATGCACGGAGACATCAAACCACCACAGACATTTGGTGCTTAGAATAATAAAAAGACTATAAAATTAGATTAGTTGAGTCTAATTTGGAATTGGTATATTCCCTATGCACCCTCACCGCTCTTGGGCAGATAAAGCCTTGAGATTTAGCGCTGTGTCAGAGCAGAAAGACTGCAACTTCCAGTAAAAGGGAGACGAGGGAGCGGGGGAAAAAGCATTCTGGGAGGTCGCGGAGGGCAGAGCAGTGACCTCCAATGATTTACAGGCCTTTAGCTTAATGAAATTGTTTCAGTGACATGACGGTAAGAGCTCGTAATGGATTGGATGCCCTAATGTAATGAAATTACTCCCTTCTGCCTAAAAAAAAAAATGCGCAATTAATATTTACTGAGACCTGACAGCCTTTGGTACGCTCGTCTGTGTAGTTCTCTCAGACAGTCAGAGAGGAGAGACGGAGCAGCGTGGCAGACAGGCTGGCTCTGCACGAGCTCCTGGCAGGGATGAGCAGAGCCTGCAAGAGGGTGGAGGGACAGGCGCTCGGTGGCCAGGGACGCCCGGCCCGGGCTGCCCAGCCCCTCGGCACTGCCCCTGCTCAGCCTTCACGCTCTCCCTTGCTTTTCACAGGCAACTGGACAACAACCACATCAGCTGCATTGAAGATGGAGCCTTCCGAGCGCTGCGCGATCTGGAGATCCTGTGAGTTGATTTTGCGATTGCTGCCTTGTGTGTGCGTGCGTGTGTGCGGAGTGTGCCTGTGGAGGGAGGAGAGAGGGGAGACGTGTGTGCAGGGGGCTCTGTGTGGGTGCATTTCTGGGTCTTCTGCTGCAGTGCTATTAAAACTGGGAACCGGGAGAACCCTCTGGCTCACCTTGGCCAAAGTGTTTTCAGGGAGCAAAGTGTGATTTCTCACCTCTCACAAACTGGGGTCCCTGCTAATTAAGTCTCAGTCGAGTCATTTCTCCCCCATGCTCTGGCGGTGTTTGTTTCTGGGTGAGACAGATGGGCTGGAGTAGCCCCCCGCGTCTGCCAGTGCACTGGGGAGAGTCCGGCTGAGTGTGGGCAGAGAATGAGACAGGTTACAGATCTGGGGCCAGTGGGAGGGTGAGCCCCAGAGGGTCTCTTGGAATCAGCCAGAATCTGAAAGGCATCTCAGCACAGGACAAGGGGGAAATGCCAAACAGCAGCCTGGCGAAGTCCAGGCATTGCCATAGATCTTGGAATCTCATCTCCAGTTCAAATTCAAACTTTAAGCAGCAATCTTAAAGTGGCAGGGGAAAAAAGAGGAAAAGAGGCGCCCCTCCCCATTAGCACACCCTAAATACTTTGTGTAGAAAACATGGGTGGCTGTCTCTCTGTGTCCCGAGTCTTTAAATGTTCTAATTAAGTAAACCTGATTTCTGGGTGGTGGGGGGGAGGCATCGAGGAGTCATCTTGAGGTCATTCAAACTAAAGTTGGATTGTGTAAGAAAACCTTTTGATTGTTCTCACCAATGGTGGTGACACTTCCAGCTGTCCTCTGGAGAGAAAGCAGTAAAGAAAGCATAGTAGAACTTGTGTTAAGAGATGTGTGATTCAGTTCTGCCACTAATTAGCCATGTGACCTTGGGCAAGTCTCTGGCTCCCAAAGCCTCAGTTTTCTGGTTTATAAAACAACAGGCTTGGTTCCCCTATCATGGGAGAAACTCCCTGTTTTCAAATTCCACAATAATAATTCTGGTAGTACAATTCCAGCCAGTGAGTGATAAGAGAGTAGGATTTGTTCAGCAGCCTTTGAAACTATAAAATTACACAGTCACAGGATTTTCAGTGTCTGACTCCAGCAGAGTGAATGAATGAATGCCAGATAAATACATGAATGAATATAAGAAAATGTCTTTGTACAAAAATGAAAGAATAAACAGTTTCCCCCTTCACCTTCCTTTTCACCTGGCCCTAAAGACATGAGCAAAGATTAGAAAGAGCCCCTCCACCTTTGTGAGAGGAAGGTTATTCCAAGAGGAATTACAAAGAAATAAAAGGGAATGCCGATGCTACAGGCTACTTGAAAACAGAGGAAAGCCGAGAATTCCCGGTACAGAAAAGGCACAACCCACAGCCAGGAGAGGTCAGTTTGTCATTCCTAAGATAGATTGTCTCTCCTCACTCAAACTCTGACCCTGGAACCAGCAACAAATGCATGTCTGCGCAGGAGAGCGTGCCAAGCCAAAATTAGTAACCTTGGACTTCTCTTATTGGAAGGCTGAGGCTGAGAAGGGTAGGCATGATTTTCCCTGCCTATGAAAAAGAGACTGTGTAGAAAGGGTTGCTAGGAACATATCACCTTTTCCTCCCTTGGCAGCGAGAATAACGAAGATGACAAAATTCCTTAGGAAGAGACCAGGAAATAGAAGTCACCAGCTGCCATGAAACAGCTGTGATAACCTGTCAGCCTTCAGGTTTGTTGTCTGTGCTGAGAGTGGTTTTTCTGCCCTCCCCTTAGCAGGTGCACAGTCTGGGGGAGGAGAGAGGGCTTTAATGTTAGACTCACCTGGATGGGGAATCCCAGCGGCCTGCTGCTTGCCTACCCTCTCTGAATCTTCCTCAACTTTGAGGAGAAACACTTTATGTGCTACAGAGGAGACTATAAATTGTCATCTTTTCCGCTTCCCTAACTGTCTCCTATCCTGCCCTCATGTGCATCAAGTCCTGCTCAGGACAGAACTGAACCACTCCTCATGACTCAGATGTTTGCTAGAAAAAAAAAAAATTTACATCCAGTATATCAGGTGTCTCCAAATTAAGAGAAACCTGTGCTCAAAATAATAATAATAAATAATAATAATAAAGTTCATTTCCTCATCATTGCAAAGAGCCCACAGGATCTGATTAGTTTATCTTCTCAATTCCAAACAAAGCCAGATCAATAGCTTTGTTTTAAAGATGCTCTCATTTGGCTTCACATGGCTAAGTACTTAAAATTAATCATAATCAGTTATTCCATGGGTTTTTAATTTCCAGCAGAGGCACACAGCTTTGGCACTATCCATCTTAATGGCGAGCCACTCTGAAATTGGCTGGAGTTGACATCTCCATTTAAAGAGCCTCCCCAACACACCCCAGCCCTTCCAAATCTACACACTGACTTTTTATAACACTTCTCCGTAATCACAATTTAGTCACCATAAAGAAACTTGGCAATGAAATAATAACTAGGAAATAAGTGAAGGCATCACACATTAAATTTCTCAGAGGTACGCAGGGAGGATATTTAAAACGCCTTATCCCCAGAAAGGTTGTTCATAAGTATCTAAAGTTTAAACTTTGCAAATTAAGACAAACTCTAATAGTTCAGGAGCGGTTGCTGTCTGACATTAGGCAGAATGAAGTAACAAACAAGGATTGGCTCGTGATTTTCTCATATAAAGGTCCCAAAATACACTTAAGGAAGGCTTGTGGGTGTCAGTTATTAGTGGAAATACTTCACACGTGATAACCCTGTTGTTCCATTCTTCCTATGGTGGAAATACCATAAAATTTCCTTCCATCAGGACTGAGGTTGATGTCAGTGCTGGCATTAAGCAAGGACTCGAGGGGTGAGTCTGGGAAAGAGCCAGGGATAGCAAGGAGGAGACATGCCCAGTGCCGGCTAGGAAAAGACTGAATTCTGCCCATCTCCCTTCATTTTTGGCCATGCCTGGTGGAGAAATGTTCAGCACTGCGTATAATGGACAAGGATAGGAGCTTCCACCCTCCCCTTGCCTGGCAGCCAGAAAAGGATGTAAAAGGAGGATGGTATGGGTAAAACTTTCCGTGGCGCCTGTGCCATCACAGGGGAAGAGGAAGAAGGAAAATGATGACAGCTCACAGTGACCTGCCTGTACCGTAACTAGTGCTTTGACATCTCTTCGCCCTCCACAACCTCTCTGTAGAGCTCACATTGCCTTTAGCCTCCTTTTACAGCCGCAACCCATTGCAGAAAAGCCAAGTAACTACTTAACTAATAAAAAGCCCAGCTCATATGGTCCGCCTTGTACCGAGTCACCCCTTTGATCTATGCTGCCAAAACTGTCGTGGTGTCCTGCTTCCCTGAAGCAGGCCCCAAATGCACTGCACAGTGGTGTCAATTGGCCTTCAAGCACTGGCATGGTCAAGCGCTCAATGTTTCATGGTGCAGTCTTCAAAACCTGCCAAAGTAGCCTCGTCTTTCTCTTTGCCTAACTAATGGGTCCCCACACAGTGGAAGATACATCCACCTGCAGGAGAAAAGAAAGGAGAACGTCACTGGGTCACTTTGTAGTTTTCAGAGATAATTCAGTCTCACCTCTAGCACAATTAACTTTAGCATTCCCTGTTTAGGGGGTCTTTATTCCAGACACCCCCACCACAAATACAGCCTTGATGTTTTGGGCATTAACAGTTCTTAATAGAGGAAGCATGCCTTCTGTGAGGCAGACTCTGTTACCCAAATTAGTGCCCTTTCATTCCCACCAGTTCTGTACATTTGGTGATTCACATACTAGGGTTTCCTCCAAATGAGTTGTGCTTATGCTGCAATTGCATGTGCCAATACTGCGTTCCCAACTTCATGTGGTTGGGAATCAAGGTGATTGTGCTCTGAGCTGGAGGTTCCTAGCCCCTGCCAGCTAAGCTGAGAGCATGGCCAGGTGTTTCCCCAGTTATACCAGAGTCTTCCCTGCCCAACACACCATCATAGGTACAAAAGAAAAAAAAAAAGTATCAACCCATGAAGCAAAACCTAGTTAATAAAAAAAAATTAAATTTTTCAATACTATGGCAGGAGAAAAGATAGTTTCAGAAGCTATCTTCAGACTAAGTGGAACAAGCCAGAAGTTCAATAGATACATTGTTTAAATGCCAGACCAAAGATGTCAGAAATGCATCTGGAAAATGCTCTCCTCTCAGAATGGTCTGCCCTTGACAGATCACTGGTACCAGCTAAATCGCGTGTAAATCCGACAGATCTTTAGATAACTGGTATGTGCTGTGTTTGAAGGTCTCCCTCCCGTTTATGTCACCTGCCAATTTTGGAAATTCAGTGACGTCATTGTAGGCCAGTACTGGAAAGATCTTAGGTGTCTGCTGGACAACTTTCTATGCAGACAGATGCAAGGAGAAGGTTTGAGGCTGGAGGAAGATAAGTGCCTCCTAATGTTCTGTACCCCAGGAGGCTTGCTAGGCTCACCTAGTCCCAGCCCTTGCTAGGAGACTCGCCCAAGGTCAACAGCAAGTTGCTGGTAATAGACTAAAATCTGAGACTCCAGACTTGTGAATTCCTGATCCACATTCTTCACCTACAATCAGTGTCTGCATATAACTCAGCTGTTCAGAAGAAACTTATCCACTGGCCATTAAAGTTTTAATACTGTTTATGAAATTGGGGAAGGGCGAACATTGGTGCGTGATGGAATCAAGGGATGATCCAGCTCAGCTTACATAAAAATCCAGGTTTCTGTCTTCTCTTAAAAACCCTGAAGCACTGGCAACTGCAGGATGGAAGTTGCATGTTGCGGCACTCAGCCATGGCTGAGGAGCACTTGCGCTCTGTAGATGGCATGTGAAGCCTCCATGGTGCCACCAATTCCTTCTCATTTAAGTTCACTGCCAGCCTAAGCCAGAAACACCTGCTTTAATCCATCTAAGAAGCAAGAATACACTCACTGTGTATCCCATAGAGTGTTGATAAAGCTGTATGGGCT